TATATTCCCTTTCTGTCAGTTCTTTAACTTTTGTCTGCACAATGTTGTCTGCTTCTGGTATTCCAAGGTATTTATAATTTTCATCACTTGATAGTGATTTTATAATATTGGCATTTTAAAATTATATTTCATCTGGTTTTTGGATCTTGCCATGGTGCATAGATAGAGCTGCCCATTTGTCAATTCAAAATTTCATCCACCCAAATATACAACTCACCATGGAAAAAGAAATAGAGGGCCAACTCCCTTTCTTAGATGTCGTGGTCATACACAAACATGACCTCCTATTGGGACACAAAGTCTACAGAAAACCCACCCACCCAGACTGGTACCTGCACAAAAACTCCAACCACCAGCAACAACAAAAAAGAGGCATAATCAAAACACTGGAAGACCGTACGGACTGGAACTGTGAAGCTCAATTTTTCAGCACCAAACTCAACCATCTGAATTGGGCCCTATAGGCAAATAGCTATTCCAACAATGAAATCACAAGAGCCATCAAACAACACTGAACTGAAGAAGAAAAACAGTCACCCACACATAAAGTATTTCTGCCATACATCAAAGGGGTCATAGAACGCATGGAGAAACTTTTGGAAAAACACAACCAACAAACAGTATTCAGGCCCACCACAAAAATGCAACAAATGTTATGATCAGCAAAGGACAAAAGGGACCCCCTCACCATTGCAGGAGTATACTGGGTACTGTGCAGTTGTGGCCAGCTATATACTAGGACCACAAAACACAACATCCACAGCAGAATCAAATAACATGAAAGACACTGCAGACTAAAACAACCGGAAAAATCGGCAGTAGCTGAACATGCCCTGGAGCAAGCTGGACATGAAATTCTATTTCAAAATACTGAAGTACAGGACAACACCAGCAATCATTATGTTAGACTACACAGGGAAGCCATTGAAATCCACAAATATCAGCACAGCTTCAACAAAAAAGAAGAAAGTCTAAAACTCAACAAATCCCGCAGTGATAAATACAGCCTGCAAAAAAGGTCAATGAACTCTACCCAGCCACAAGGACTGGTGATCACTGAAGACAAAAGACTAGCTAACGACACCCATCAATCACAGTGACAGATCATTTCTCCCCTTATCACAACAATACACCCATAACAGAAAACACCCTGGTAATCACCCAATCTCCTGAAAAGGACAAAAAGCTGATCCTGCAGCTACAAATACTCAACTATCCCACACATTACACCAGAACACAGACAGAGTTCTGAAGATGCTGGCCACAGAGACTGGCGAAACGTTAGGAAGAAAAACCTCCAGAACACAGCCAAACGGCCCGAAAAACCTACAACAACCAACTTCATTTTGATATCTTCACTAATTTTTTACACTGTGTTTAGCAGTGATTCTATCTCGATGGAACTTTTTGCATAAAGTTTTTATTATTGTTGTTGTTGTTGTAACTGTCGGGCTCAAAAGGACTCTATGGATCATCAAGTCCAATTCCTATTAGGGAGACACAGTGTGGAATCAAAATCCCAACCTCTTGTTCCAGTGCCACATGCCTAAACCACTGTGCTATCCAGCAGTTCATAAAAGGCTTTAAATTTTTTTTTCAAACTTCTTAATTAAATTTATAGTAACAATTGCAAAAATGAATTGATTTAGCACGTAATCAATTGCTGAAGGTCCTCTTGGCAGAAGAAAGATGAAGGTGAGTGGGGCAAGTCTCACATACTTTGAAAAGAAATTGTCTAGGTCTGCAACAGTCCCAGAGAAGGTGCTCTATAATAATCATTCTCAAACATGTCTCTGAGGGTAGCAAGGCAAAGAGGAGTGCATCTTCTGCAGATTTCAATATCTGGACAGACATGATTGGGAAAATATAGTCTTTTAGATAGCCTTGATATAAGTCATAAATGTTAATTACATTTCTTCCCTTATAAAAGGGTTTATAATAAACACAGGTACTTTCAAGATCTATGTTATTCTTGGTTTGAAGGAACATCTCTCTTTCTGAGTTGAAATCTTTCTTGTTTTTAAACTTCATGGAGATTGTTTACAGATGGATAAGCGTAGCCATACTGTGAGACAAGTACATGGGAAATGGAATAAAGAAATACATCAGTGGTGACGTTGGATCTGTAGGAGTAGAAGAAGACTGAAAACTAGATGGATATATTATCTAAAAAATATCAGCAGGACTGGCATGGGTTGGAATAACACAAAACAGGAAGCAAGAATGGTGGCCTCCCCTTCTTGTTTCAAAACCGGATGCCAGTGGGGTAATAAAGAAGAAGAAAGGAGAGGTGCGATTATGGGGCACACTGTTTTTCATTGTATCTGCCAGCAACAATGGCTTGGAAGGAACAGGGGCAAAACTGTGGAGATCACACTAAGAGAAATGTCTTTGGTTCATATTCTACCACTCATTCATGTATGCAAGGAAGAATTAAGACCCTGATACTTGGATAAGGGAAGTAAAATCAATTTCCTTTTTTAAAGCATACCTTTGGCTGTTTGTCAACCACTGCTACTTGTCTCAGAGTAGTCCTATAAAAGTAAGCCATCACACTGAATACAGAGCATGCATTCTGTTGTTAGCTGCGGGATGTGATAGAATACGTAAGTGGTATCAATGTCTGTCCTTTGCCCCACTGTGAGTCACACTACAGGAGAGAGATCACTCACTTAAGGGTAGCTCTTTATATCCTTTCGTTTGTCATATACTGAAATGGAGGGATTGCTATTGTCATGCACTGTAATCCAGATTTAGGTTTCATTTCATTTGGGAGTTTTTGGGGAGAGTGAGGGTTCTGCATCCTATTTTATTCCAGAGGCTTTACAGCTTTTTATCTACTACATCCCAAGCACTTCCTCCAGTAGATGGAGGGAAAAACTTAAATAAAATCTTAAGAGGACTGAATGCCCTCAGTAGCTTGGGATGTAGGCAAAGGAAAGACTGGGAAGATGGGAATGAAGGATGGAATGGAGTATATTGGAAGGGGGGATGAGTGGCTGAATAGCAAGACTGTATACAGCAGCATTTAGTTGTAGTTCCCACTTGTTTTAAAATAATCATTCGGGTGAGGATTGTGATTCCATCAGCTCTGGTATGCACCATGACCAAGCTAGGAGGAGCATGCATGATGTCTTTCTATATGACAATGACAGCATGTATGGACAAGTTTTTTGGCCCGACTCCTTTCCATATGGAAAATAGGCAATCCAAATAAAGAAATGTTCAAAGATAAGAACACTTCACCTGTGCTTAAAATGTAGAGTCTCAGGAATGATGATGGTCTGGAGATATGTGTGTTTAAGTTTGAACTGGCATATTTTACACAAATGCATAATCTGTGACAAATCTAAATATGAAACACATTGGGACACTGATTCGACCACTTTTTTAAATTGATAAAAGATATTTTAAAAATCTTTCTTGGCTTTTATTTTGTCCTGCCTGTTATAAATGCAAAGGAATTTTAAATAGTCTTTCCTTTTTGTGAGAAAAGTGCTTTCCCCCTCCACTTTCTTCGGAAGAAAGTGGAAGGGGAAAGCAAGAATCATCAAAATATTTTGATTCCTGCTTTGCCCCTCCACTTTTTGCGAAGAAAGTGGAGGGGAAAAGCACTTTGCTCGCAAGAAAGTGGAGGGGGGAAGCAGGAATCAAAGCGCTTTGATCCTGGCCTTCCCCCTCCACTTTCTTGCGAAGAAAGACATTTTGGGTTAGAAAAGTTGGGGGGGGGTCCTTCTACATGGAGCATCTTATACATAGAAAAATACGGTAGTTTGTTGCTTTCTGTTATGAAAGATTTTATTAAAGAGGCTGTTCAGAGTTCTTTAAAGAAAAGCAGCACTGGTGAATTGAGCCTAAGTTCTAAAGTAATGTCACTGCAACTTTTGACCAGCATCTTGCAGGGACTTTCTGTGCGTACCTTGAATGTCTCAGTGTTGAAGAGATGTCTGTTCTGCTACTGGTTATGCAGCTGAATGTACAACCCGTCATGCAATAGACTTCTCACTAGGTAGTGCTTGCACGATATTAATTAACACAACCTCCCAAAAGATACAGTTTGTTTTAATGTGCTAATAAAGTAGGAGTTTTGATACAGATTTCATAATACACATTCTTGATTTGTTCTGGATAGCTATTTATGTTTCAAGGGAAACATTCTCCCTCTTCAGTAGCTTTCAGCTTTTTAGGGATACTGTATATGTCTTACTTTACATCGCATAATAGCTACTTCATAGTGATCTCTGCAGTAGTGAAAATATTTTACCATTCTGAAATAAGTGGTTTTGAGTGTGTGCGGTAGTGTTCCGTCTTGGATATTCAGCAACAAAATAAATACATTGAACCTGGGTTCTGTGTTTTGACACAGAGAGATGATTTGTACGAAACATTTTTGTTAATGAAATATGAAGTTGTCTTCAGCTATTGTTCTCTGAAGGGAAGTTGTCCTATGTGCTAATTAGAGATCTTTTCTACCATATAATGGAAGAGAAAAATGGGCACATAAACAGAAGACAAATAGAACATGTTCTGGCAGACAACGCTGCGACAACTCTCAAGGATTTGGGAATTTATTATACGAGGACGTAGAAGGAACCATTGCAAAATCACATATTTGGATGTAAATTTGGTCATCAGTAGGTTTCTCCCATATTGCAAATAAATAAATAAATAAATAACTATCCCACTTCTTTTCTTGAAATGCATATTATCTTAGAAATTACTGCAGTGTAATATTAGTGATAATAACAGGCACTGGTCCAGTGATTTGTTAAACAGCACTGTACAGTACGTTGCATTGTTTATCACATTACAATCACAGAGTGTTCCTGGTTGGGTGAAAGATCTATTTTGTATGCTTTGATTACTTTATCCTTCAGTACAGAGAAGGTCATATTGGACATCTACCACCTCAAATCTTCCTCTGAACTGGCTATTTAAAGGTTAAAAATTACTGGATAGTTGTATTTTGTAAATGAACTTTCCATTCTCCTCTCTTGTAGGATCTGGGGATAACGAAGGTGGGTCATATGAAGCGAATTCTTCAGGGAATTAAAGAACTTGGGAGGATCACACCTTTTTCTGAAGTATAGTGTTACTGCTACCCCTCTTAAAGAAGAAACTACTTATGCAAAGCGGTGGAGATATGCAGCCTTCTGTGCAGGTTACTGCATGGATAAGTGCGCTTCAGTAGGTGACAAGTGTATTGTGTTCGGGCTGTTGTTTAGTAAAAAGAGCCTGATATGAGAACTTGAAAAGTTTTCTGTGTCTAAAGATGCTGTGAAGTATATTGTGAAGAGCAGTTCTAGTGTGTATATTTGGGTAACGTTCCTTAGGTAGCTTATGTATTACCTGAAAAGGGTAATCAACATATGTATAATGTTTTTCTCAGGGGAGCAGCAAATAACTGTATGAAATGATACTATTGAGTTTCAGAAATTCCTGAGGTGTAAGCTTACCTGGAATCTCTTACATGATGCTGTATGGGTTTTCAGGTGACAGTAATACCACAGGGATCTCTTGTTCTGTTTCTCTTTCTGGCCAAAATACAAGGCCGGAGCCATGGCATATAACACAAAGGCTGCATGGTTTGGCTGCCTCAGCTGTCCTTTTTGATGCATGACACATCTGGTATTTTACACACTTGAAGAACTTTTATATCTGTTTTAATAAGATTTAATTTATTACTACTCTGTGTCTCATGTTGCTTGAAGATTTGTTCTGATGATATATGTTACCTAAGCATGTAATGTACTATGGATATCTCTACCCCACTCTTGCAAGGGATGTATACTAAATATGATGAAAAGATTCTGAGCTCTGGCTTCAAGTTGGCTTCAAAGTATTTTTTAACATGCTGGTACCTCAAAAAATTATGAGATGGCTCCAAAGAGATTATTGGAATATTTCCTTTAATGCTATATAATATGCAATATTTATCTCTTATCACCTCTCTTACAGCAAGTGCTAGTTTACCTCTAATGTCTGAACCTCAAAACATAATACAGTGTGGTGGAAGTGAAGTGGGTATTTGCTTACTGAGAGACAGCAATCTAATTGTGTACAGTAACCTAAAATTCCTTCATATTGAAGATTTCACAAGGACCAATTTTGTGACTATCTGGGCTTGATTATGCAATTTTTATAAAACTAGTTAAGTTAAAAACAAGATGAAGTAAGTAACATCACCACAAAACATGTCTTTTCTATATACAGTAAGCAGAGGCTTCTTTCAATACAGAAATGCATTACCTTCTTCAAAAACCTATATTGTCTGAAAAGTGTGCAGAGGCTTTTTAAATCAGTAAATGTATTAATGTGGACTAGGAAATCGGCTTAAAAATGTTTGTTTGATTTAACTATAACATTCCCTTTCTAAAACATTATGAAATGTACTTTTTAAGTACATTTTAATTTAGTTTTTAAGGTGTGATACTGAAGCTTTTAAGCTTTCAAAGGGGAAATGCCATATAAGAGATCCAGAACTGATATGGCTCATATGTCTAAAGACCATGTAGCAGTGAAAGGTTTTCAGAAACATAAAGTTGTTGGTCATATTTGCATATAGCAATAAGCCAAAATCCAGGAGAATACTGGCTTATCAGAAGCAGGAGCAATTGAGAGAATACATAATGAGCACCTTGTTAGTGAGGGAAATTCTGGATTCTCCAGAATTCTGACTTATTGTTATCAAATGAATGCAACCGGTATCTAGTAGAAGGCTAACAACCTTCTTTTAATATATGCCTATCTTTACCTTCTTGCTTAAGCAGTCATAATCAGCATTCGTATCTCCAGTGAATGTAATCAATCCATCATGACATCTGCAAAAAAATGTAATTAAGGTTAGGCAGTAGAGATTGCTCTGCAGATTTATGGCAGTAATTTATCATTTAGAGTAGGGAAGTGTGTTTTCTTAAGTTAGATGGACCCCCATTAAAACAGAACTAAGAGTATAAGGATTTTTAATTGACTGCCTTTGGCATTGGTACTAACAATATATGAACAGATTTTTTTATTTGTTACATATGCTTTTAAATATAAGAACTTGACACTGGCATTTCATACTGATGAACCGTTGATTTCATGATAGTATAGCTATTTATTGTTTGTAATTGTGGTGCAAAATGCAAACACTAATAATGTTCTGGTTTTATGTGGGTAAATTAAGAACTGTTAATATCATTAATATTTTTTATCAGATATGTTGGCAAGTCTTCCCCTACGAATCCCAAGTCCCAGTCTGAATCTTTGGGCCCACTGTCTGCACAGGCCTGGAAGGTGGTGTGGCAATGGCAAGAGCAGGTGTGTGTGTCAGAAAGTTGGTTCCAAATCACAAGTCAAGTCCCAGTCATTGAAAAAAACAACAACCACAAGTCGAGCCTGAATCAAATCACTGGTGCTTCTTGAGTCAGACTCAAACAGCTCGTTCCCATCCCTGTTTCTTATGCATTAAAGTCCCGTAAGTTATAAAAGGAACTTGTCTACTTTTCAAATGATAGAACTAGTGTTGTCTCAAATGTGATGGCAAAACCTAGTGATGGATTTGGGAATTAAATATGACGTCTAACATATTAACTGAAAAAGTAACGTCTTATTAAGCAGATATCCACAGCTATGGTGTTGCTGCTCATTTTTTTGAATATACTTTCATTGGGTTCCTTATTTTAGGGTAGATATGTAGGTGTCCTTTGTAAAAGTAATCTAGAGTCTTTAAAAACCCCACCATTTTCAGCAACAGGTTTCTAATGCCGAAGATTTTCTATACTTTTTTAATGTTGGTTTTTTCCCCCAACAGATCTATAGGAGCACTGATGTGCACACCACCCCATGAAAAGTTTTTTTTATCCATTTTAAAGAAGGGGGAGCTGTATTCCTGCAATTAGACATGTAGAAAAGCAAGCAAAATAAGTTTATTGTGTGGCACACAGGCCATTGCAACATACATAGGATAAAACAATATAAACAATATAATATAGTCCATTACAATATAATACAATACAGTATTAAAAGCCATTTAGAATCAAATCAAGTTGATTTCTATTACGGCACAAAGCTTTAACATCTAAGGACAGGGCACAGGCAGATGGAAGACATTAACCAATGCCAGCAGCAAGTACTTATCGCGAGAGGAATAACCCCAAAGATACAGTTACTTAAGTATTGACTTAATTGATAGAGGCGGGGGGAACAGATTTCATTTTTTACAATGTAAAGATAAACATGCCATTCAGAAAGTGACAAATTTGTCTCTGTTGGAAAGTAGGATCTTAAGCTTTTCTTATTCAGAATTACTAAAATGTTTTTGTAAAATAGGGTTGAGAACTCTTTCGCAATAGGTCTCTAATGGTGGACAGTAGAGCACTACATGTGCCAAATTCTCCACTGATTTTTGGTCACAAGAGCAAACTCTCTGGAATTTGAGTATAGCGTCCTAATAAACTGGCTAGTGGTAACGTATCAAAACGTGCCTGAGTAAAAGCTTTTCTATAATCAAAACTCATTAAATCAGTAAAATAAGATGGAAAAATTTAAAGGCAAGGGTAAAATGTTCTTATATAAAGGAACCGTTTTTAGGGTACCTAACAAACCTAAATCGGTTTGAACCCAGTGGTCGGACAAGCTTTGTTTCAGTAAACGTTTTGTAGCGGGTAGGCCAAGGTGTCTTGTATGCCTACAGTTAGACAAGTAGAAAAGCAAGTCTCTCAGCTACTGAAAAATACGAGTAAATAATGCTGTGGTTAACTACCACATGCCAAAGATAAGAATTTGTATGCCAGGAGATGTATACAGTCTATACCAAATTTCTACCTTCACATAGATTTAGGAAGATTTGTTTTATGGCAAATAGATCATTTGCAAATAAATTACTGTTAATGGGTTCAAAGTAAAACAAGGCTGAGAAGAGATAGTGGGTTTTTGTGCTTTTTCTTTTAAAGCAAGACTCTGAACAATTGCCACATACTGCATTAATACAAATTTTTGATTCTTTGGACTCATCTGTTATAACATTATCTGCTCAAAGTATTGTGTGTATTGCCTTTCAAATACATGCCTTCTTTGAATGAAAAGTAAAATTGAAATGCAAAATATAAAATTTTAAAGGTATCTTACACACAAAGGGAAGACATAATATGTTCATTCAGACCATGATGATGTATTGATGGCACTTTCAGCTTTAAAAAGCAAACAAACAAAAAACAGAATATTAATGGAAATTGCTTTAGATTTCCCCTCTTGCACATAGTCCAAATTAGGTGTCTACATAATTTATGTAAGCATAATGACAAATTGAACACTGACTGTATGTCATTTAAATATATTGATGGGTAGTAGAATATGGAAGTCATTGTTCTAAAAGAGGAATACATAGGGGAGCTTTGGTATTTCAGATGTTTTGGATTTGTAATCACAAAATCTGTAACCTGCAGGGTTAGTAGTAAAAGCCAAAGGTTCCTTACCCTGTTTAAATATATATTGAAAATTTTAAAAATCAGAGTTTATTGGATTTAATTAACAGTGTCAAAAAGAGTAAATTGGCTGAATCAATGGGATTTACCTACTGACTTAATAATTCATCAGTTTATTTCTCTCTTCTAGTTGTGTCTAGCAAACTAGATTCATCCCATTGTGTGTAAATGCCAGTTTAGACACAAAGATAAGGCAGAATCAATAATGATTTTGGCTTTTGTATTTATGATTGCACTATTGAGGGTTATCACTCTTTTTAAAAGCTATAACTTTTAGTTTATTAAAATATGCTTGACAGTTTTGATAATTATAGATAAGTGTGAGTTGTGGGTGTGTATTTCACCCTAATAGATTAAGGACAAGTGTAGAGCAATATATTAATACTACATCCAAGGAATTTCCAAAAATGCTTAAGAGTGATATTCTAATTAGAAATACATTCTGTGAATACTTGGCAGTCCAGCCAATGAAACATTTCTAGATCCTATTGATTTCAATGAGAGAGAATTATTCATATAACCAAATTAAATACCTTAGTGAACCAGCCCTAGAGTATTGTATACTAATAACTGCACAATGGCTGAAATCTAGTAGTAAATCACAATTAGAGTAAGCCATTGAATCAGTGGAACTTGCAGTTGACCCACCAAATCACCACTGATTCAATGGACCTACTCTAGTTGCAGTTGTACAGGATACAATTGGACATGGATTTGTCTCTCAGTTTGGGGATAAGCTGGTTCATTCTTTTTTCTGATGACCACACAGCACATGGGCAATTGCAAACCAACCCTGTCAGGGGCTCTTTTTTGGTGCGGATAGGATTGTTCCATTTTGGTTCAGTTCCAGCATGTGTTATTGCCGGCATCGAACCAAAGTGGATGGCTTAAACTGTTAATTTGTGTAAAATACTGTACAGCATTGGAATGCCACTTAGAAGTTATTTTTAAAAATTGAGAGCTTGCCCCACTCCCCTGTGGAGGAGGGGACAAGGAGAGGGATATCTTTTTTGTTATTTTTCCCCCTTCACTTTAAGGGCAGTAAAGGACAGATAGGGTTGCTTGAGGTATGGTGTAGTTTCCTGCCCTCAAACCACCCAATCCTTGCCAGTGGATGCAAGGATCACCCCATATGGCAACTTAAACTGTCTGTTTAGCACAATCTAGCCTGATCCACGCTGGGATAATTTGGCCATCTAGTTGCACCTTCAGTTTCCTTAGACTGGGGTTGGATACTATAAATACTTGAATATCACTTAGCCTTTGCCTTCCTTACTCAAATAAGCTGATGTCACCAGGGGCAGTAGACAGGGCGGTAATATCCTGTCTTGCCAATGGTGTTGAATTCAAGTGAGGTTCTTGTTAATTACTACAGAAATGTTTAACTTTCAAAAGGATGAAATATATACCTCCAGTGTTAGTAGAGCGCCAAGTTGAACTTTGCTGGTTAGTTTTTGTTTAAGGAAGAGTTTGTGCAGAATAAACAAGCAATGAATATTCCATTACCATTGGATAAAAGAAAATTATCGTGCCTGTACCTCTTACCTTCTTTACACTAGCATCAGCAAAAAATGAACCCCAGGGAGAACTGTGGTGATTGGTCTGGCCTTGAGTATCAATGTTACTGGTTGAATTCTGTAGGACAAAGTGGCACAGACTCCTTGCTCAAAAAAGGAAAAAAAATCCCATGTATTACTTGTACAGTGGAAGGCAAGGATGGATCATACCTTTATTAGACCATGAAAAATTACAGGCATAATTTTGGCACCTTAGTTTGACTGCCAGAAAAGAAACGCCCACAAAATAAGCTGGCTTTTTGACCACGTGCGAAAAACTAACATGCTTGTGATTTTTCTTAATAGTCTAATAAAAATATCACCCATCCTTGCCTTCCTTGCTGATATATACCAGTGTCACTAGGCACAGTGGATGGGGTTATTCTAGCATTCTGTCTTGCCAGGGATGACGTTCCTTATTTTTCTTCATTTACTTTTGTAGATTAATGTAAACTTGGCAACAGTTTTACATTAGTTATATGACTAGTGTGTAAAAAAATTAGAAATGAATCACAAAGAACTTTAATATAATAATTCTTAAAGTTTTATATCTACTAATGCAGTGTTTGCCATTAAGTGATAAGTAGGCTGATTTATTTGGGGGGGACGGGATCTCCAGTATTATCACAATTTGCAAAGTTGAACCAACACAATGTGTTGTGTTGGTCCAACTTTTTTTTAAAAAAAGCACTTTTAGTACTCTAGTGGAAATCATATGCAGCTCTAAGCTGCTCCTTGCAGAATTTTTCCCTGCCCCTGAAATTGTTTGTGTTTTATAAAAACAAAACATTATCCAGTTACCTCGGGAGTTGGTGAGTGCTCCAACACTGGAGGCATTCAAGAAAAACTTGGATAATCAGCTGGCAGATATGCTTTAATTGTATTCCTGCATTGAGCAGGGGGTTGGACTTGGTGACCTTGTAGACCCCTTCCAACTTCACTTTTCTATTATTCTATGATTCTATCCCGAGGCAAATCAGTACCAGATGAAAAACAGGATCCCTTTTTGATGCTTATACAACCCATACTTGACAGGCAATTTGGAGATACTATTCTGATGGATGGAAAATGTTCTGGCTTAGACAGTTGTACCTGCTTTTGTTCTGGTAATAATACAGAACTATTGTAAGTTGAAAGGGCATTGAAAGCACTAAGGGCATTGAAACTTTTTTTAAAAAGTTTTTTTAAAAAAAACTTTACCCTGTTTCCCTGAAAATGAGACCTAACCTGAAAAGAAGCTGTAGTATGATTTTTTAGGATGCTCGTAATATGAGCACCACCCCAAAAATAAGCCCTAGTTAAGTGAAACCCCACCTTCCACCATTGTGCAGCATTGTGCAGCAACCAGAAGATGACATGACTATAAAATAAAGCATCCCCTGAAAATAAGCCCTAGCACGTTTTTGGAGCAAAAATTAATATAAGACCCTGTCTTATTTTCAGGGAAACACGGTATATAAGCATTTAGGTTGAGCTGAATTGTAGAATTCTGTACCAAATAATAAATTGTACCAAGTAGTTCATTTTATAATTTAAATAAATGTTTATGAAAGAGGTATTAAATACATGTTTATTAAAGAGGTAGCCACGTTAGTCCATTTCAACATGGATAATAAAAATATAAATGAAAGTATTGTGACATCTTAAGGGCTAATATACTGTATTTATTCCATTTGACCATATTGCACTGCATGTGTTTGAAGAATCAGATTGTAATCCATGAAAACTCACACTGAAATAAGTCTGTGAAGGTGCCACAATACTACTACTACTACTACTACTACTACTACTACTACTACTACTACTACTACTACTACTACTACTACTACTACTACTACTACTTCTTCTTCTTCTTCTTCTTCTTCTTCTTCTTCTTCTTCTACTACTACTACTACTACTACTACTACTACTACTACTACTA